GTTCGAAGGCTTCTTTATCGAATACGGGCCATGAGCTCAGAATGCTTATGCAGATGCTCTAGCCTCCTTGGCAACCTCATTAGCGTTGCCACCGAAGACTGAAACAACGATTCCAGTCGCGGGACGGAAATTATACTTTTCTAAAATTCCTACAGAAGAAAACTTAGACGAGACACCGTCAGGAGAAGTTTGTACAACTTCTATGGAGTTTGAATCCAGGGATTGGCGATTCACGTACATCGACTATGCCATATATGGAATTCTACCAGAGGATCCTAAGGAAGCGGCCTCTATCAAACGAAAGGCCCTCCGATTCTATTACGATGCAGTCTCTCAAGTCCTGTATCGTAAATCGCATGATGGAGTTTTGCTTCGATGTCTCTCCCGGAAAGAAGCAAAAGAGGCCCTCAAGGAAGCTCACGGGGGAATGTGCGGAGCTCATCAGCCTGGAGCTAAATTAGGAGATCGCCTCCGACGCATCGGCTATTATTGGCCGAAGATGTTTTCAGACGCGGTTGACTATGCTAAACGTTGTCACGCGTGCCAAATTCATGGGGATTTCATCCACCAGGCGCCAGGAAATTTACACCCCACATCAGCGACTTGGCCATTCGAAATGTGGGGTATGGATATCGTCGAACCGATTTCCCCTCCGACATCCAAGGGACACCGGTTCATTCTAGCCGTGACCGATTATTTCTCCAAATGGGCGGAAGCAATCCCGTTGAAAGAAGTCAAGACTTCAAACGTGATCAAGTTTATCAAACATCACGTCGTCTACCGTTTTGGAGTCCCGAGGCGAATAGTTCACGACAACGGGACACAATTCGTCAGTTTTGGGTTCCAGAGATTTTGTGATAAATTCAGAATCCAAAGTGTTGCATCTACGGCTTATTATCCGCCAGCAAATGGTCTCGCAGAAGCCTTCAATAAAACCATAGTGAAGCTTCTCAAAAAGTTTGTTTCTAAAAGCCGGCGCGATTGGGATGAAAGACTGGGTGAATGTCTTTGGGCTTACCGCACTACAGTAAGGACCTCTACAAGAGCCACACCTTTTTCTTTGGTATACGGCTGCGAGGCTGTATTGCCATTGGAAATCCAGATTCCTTCTCTGAGAGTCGCTATCACAACGGGACTAACAGAAGAAGAAAAGCATCAACGACGTCTGCAAGAACTTGAAGCCTTAGACGACAAGCGACTTCAAGCTCAACAACAAATAGAGTTGTATCAAGCCCGTATTTCCAAAGCCTACAACAAAAAGGTTAAGGAACGGATCTTCAAGAAAGGCGATCTAGTGTTGGCCAACAGACGACCCATGGTGATGACACACAAAACCAAAGGGAAGTTCAATCCTAAATGGGAAGGGCCCTTCGTAATAGAATCAGTCTATTCGAACGGAGCATACCGCCTCATCAATCAAGAAGGAGACAGGCTCATGATGCCAATTAATGGGAAGTTTCTCAAGAGATACTTCCCGTAAATCATGTAGCCCCCTAAACCCCAACCAAATCAGGCTGGGGGTTGCCTATTCATAGTGTAATTCTATCTTGTATTTCGTCATGTTAACACTACACCTCTGACGATTGTAATTTGATGGAATTATTCTGAATAAATGATAAAGGGAATTTCGATAACATTTGCATTATTTTCTATTGTCTTGAACCAGATTTCAATAAAAAGAGACGATAAAGAGCAAAAGTGATATCATTTTCATTCGATGTGGTTAATCCAAACACAAAATGAAAAAGATACAAAATTCCTTAATCAAAAACAGGTCAAGAGCTAAACATCAGGCTTCATTAACTTGAGGGTTTTTAGCCTAGACTTGAAGGCAGAGAGTTTCTCCCGGTGAGCCGCTCGAACTTGTTCCTCGATCTCCTTTCTGAGTTCTGCTTCAATAGGAAGAGTAGCAACAATGTCCTTACGAGTCTGCTCAGCTGCGTGGAGTGTACGGCAAAATTTCGTATAAATTTGGCCACTTTTATGCTCAAGCTCTTTTCTGACATCCTCATAGTGGGCCAATTGAGCTTTCTTCTGGTCCAACTCGGCCTCTAATCGAGCGATAGTCTCTTCAATATCACGAATATCAGAAGCAACACGTTTGATTTTAGCATATGCTTTAGAGTGTCGCTTCCTTAAAGTTGATATACGGGCTATTTTATCAGATAGTTCCTTGCGAAGATTCCCTGGGTGATGCGCTCTCGAGATTATCGCCAAGGAAAGAGCCGGCTCCACTTCAGAATCTAAATTGGCGCGCTGTAACTCCCTGAAAGCTGTCAATTCTGCCATCAAAAGAGTGATCCCACCCTGGCAGTGCTCAGTCCAGGATGCATCCCCTTTGGCCTTGATGTCGTCCAAACATTGGCTCAAGATGGATTTACAGTCTTCAAGAGAAGCCCCCTCAACACTGATCATACCAATAATTGTTTGCATCCAACGTTCCAGTTCATCAATTGATTTCTTCAGAGCTCCTGAGCGTGGAGGAGGAAGAGTTGGATAGATTGGATCCGTATGATCATCCTGAACACGTGTTGGAGCAACTTCAGAAGAAGGACCCTCTTCAGCCCCATCGTCTTCAGGAACTGAGGGGATCGATTGAGGCATTTCGTCCTCTCCGTCAGTAGAACGCTCAACGAGCGCAGACTTCATCGCATCCCCCATTATTTTGGCCCTCTTGGAATTCTTGGCCATGACAGGTATCCGCTTACGGATTCTCCTGTCATACTCACCTTGCTCAGCAGCAGAAAGAGCTTCCTTACCCGATCTTAAAGAACGAGGTGTAGGAACGGGCTCTTCTGCAGGGATCTCCTCAGTGGTCTTTTCTTCAGGAGAATCATCAATTGGCTTTCCCTCTTCAATTCCCGTAGGAACCTCTTCTTCAGAAGGTTCTACGGTGGACAAGTCTTTAGGAGCTTCAACGGCTCCGGTCGCTTCCTGTTCACAAGATAGGTATTCTTCCATCCCTGGTAGACGAGTACTCGCAGAACCGCTCCGTGAACGATACAATTCCCGAATCTCGTTTATACATGAAGTATAAACGTCATACTCCGGAATCTGAGAAGCTTCGGCAAACCACTGGCGGAAATCCATAACAGCAGAGCAGCCGGGTGATGAATGGGGTAAAGTGAATTGCGCATGGGTTCCCCCGGCAGAGAAAAAGTACCATGCGCGAGCTCCTTCGCATAAATTCCCAATCTGAGCTAACGCCGGGTTAGGATTGCCAACATAGAGTTGGTCATATCCAAACTGTCTCGCGAACCGAGAAGGCATGTAAGGCTCGATTACGCACTTCTCCCGTGAGCGATAGACCAGGTAGCCCAACCTGATCATAAGAAGCCAGCTGAAGGTACCCTCTTCCAAAGAAGACGAGCCTTCAAAAAGCAAATCCATGAAACGAGCATCCTTAACATCAGCCCCGTCAAAGTTAGGAGCACAGCAGAAAACCTGGTAATTATCCTCTCGGGATAGAAGCTGTCGAGCCCTGACTATATAAGAACTAGTCCACGTGGCCGACTCCAATCTTTGTACGAAGGGAGTATAAGCATCACCCCCTTCATGCACTCCCGTCATTAATGAAGGGCAATGCAACACGAACCAGGCCATTAAATATGTGTATGGCACTGGTACACGTGGTTGAGGAGCTTTTCCAGCTTTCTTCTTAGCGGCTTTGACTCTCGAAGCACTGAGGAGTTCTGAAGTCAACACCCTCAGGCCATTCTGAATACAGCCAACCATAGCAGTAAGGAGGCTCACAGGTCTCCCATGCGCTAGCAAAACAGCTGGGTACACTACCTCAGCTAATATTGCCTCTATCGGTCTTGACGGTACCACGCACCGCTTCAACCAAATCATGAAGAAGCCTGCAAGCAGAGCCGTGTCAGAGATAGGAACTGTGGCTTGGTAGTGAAAACTTTCAAACTCGGCACCAGCTTCAAAATCATCCTCTGCATGCTCTGTCTTATAGGTAGCACTGGAAGCTGTAATTCGAGCTTTGGCATCCTTACGAGAGATCACAGCAACCCGAGATACGGCTACATCTTTCCGGTTTAAATTCTGAAAGGAGAAGGTTGTTATTGCAAAAATCCTCCGCTACTCTCTCTTATCCTCCGCTACTTTATTGTGTAGAAATCTCATTCTCTCTCTCTCTTTTCATTAAAAATCCCCAAATCCATCTCTGCCTCTCCGCCAAAAGTTGATCTCAAATCCCTACATCTCTCTTGTTCTCGCCGCTGACCCGACCAAGACCCGACGAAGTCTCGCTGATCCCATTCTCTCTCTCACTCCGACCGCAGCCTACCCGACAAAGCCTCGTTGATTTCTATAGTCGCCATCAATAATGAATAATCCTGTTGATTGCTTAGAAATTATAGGAATTTATGTAGAAATTATGTAGAAATTATAGTAATTTATGTGTAGAAATTAAGGAAAATTTATCAATTTTTTCCGAAATCAAGGGGAAAATATTTTAGCATAAGTCCGAAATTAATTTATTTCAATACCCAAAAATATAATCTCTGCAATTAGGATCTGTTATTGATGCAAAAACAAAATGCACTGGAAGTATTTTTTGACTGCAGCAACTCAAAATTTGAAGAATTTTTCTGTTTTTGCTGCAGCAAGTCAAATTTTGATAACATGTCAAAAATTTGATAACATTTCTATTTCTGCTGAGCAATTATTTTTTGCTGCAGCAACTCAAAAATTTGTAGAATTTTTCTGTTTTTGCTTCAGCAACTCAAAAATTCTGCAGTCCGCATGACGTTTGGACAGAATTGGTGATTTTCGTTGTGTATTTGACCTGTAACTTTGTTTTTGTGTATTTGACCTGTACTTCCATTGTGAAGTCTACTATAGAAATTAATTTGATAACATGAAATATTAATTTGATAACATGACATGTAACTTCAGATTTGATATGAATTATTAATTTGATAACATTTGGTTCGAAATTTGATATTATATACATTTTATATAGGTCAATTACAATTTTTTTTTGAGAAATGGAAAACTTGAATGACGATAGCTCGATATATACTCCTCAAGTATCAGATGAGTTGAGGCCACAAAAGGGGCAAGAATTTGACACAATTGATGATGTTGTGACATTCTACAATGCTTATGCAAAAGCAGCTGGGTTTAGTGTAAGGGCTTGGACTACTCAGAAAGAGCCGGGATGTGGTAAAATAAGAAGGAAGGAGTATGTTTGTTTTAAACAACGAAAATCTTCAAGAATCGCGGATGTTGGAAATAAAAGACGTCGATGAAGCTTAGTAGAGGATTGTCATGCCAAAATTGCAGTTTTAAAATCAAACTCTAGAAAATACATTGTTACTGTTTTTAATGAGGAGCATAGCCACCCTCTATCAACACCATCAAAGGTTCATCTTTTAAGGTCCCACCGTAACATTTTAGTCACAACAAAGTCTTTAAGTAAACAGTTCTCTATGGTGAATATACCTCAGCATCAACAAGTTAGTTTTCTTGGAGTACAATCTAGAGGCATAGAAAATATTGGGTGTACTCAAAGAGATTTGTATAATCATGAAAGGGATATACGTGCTGATTTGAAAGGGCATGATGGTGAAATGTTTTATGAGTATTTAAAATTAGAACAAGGAAAGAATCCCTCGTTTACTTTTAAAATTGAGGCCAATGAGGAACAAATGATTACTCGTTGTTTTCGGTCCGATGCAATTTCAAGGTGGGCTTACAATTTTTTCGGTGATGTTGTAATCTTTGATACCACTTATAACACTAATCGATATGGCCTAATATTTACGCCAATAATGGGGGTTAACAATCATGGTCAGACAATCCTTTTTGCTTGTGGATTTTTAAATCATGAGAGCGTTGATGATTTTGTATGGTTATTTAATCAGTTTTTGGCAAGTATGCCTGGTGGTGCCCCGAAGATGATTATTACCTATCAAGATCCAGCTATGACTAAGGCATTCCCTCTTGTTCTTCCAAATACATTTCACAGGTAATATAGTTTGTTTACATTGTCTTTCTTCCAAATAATATTTATATACGTTGTCTTTTTTTAACACTTTTGAAATTTCTTTTGACAGGTATTGTAGTTGGCATATATTAATGAAGTTTTCTGAGAAAATTGATGCAGTGAAGTATAGTATTTATAAGAGTGAGTTTTCGGCTTGCATTTGGAAATCAGAGACTCCTGAAGAATTTGATATACAATGGGAAAGTTTGATTAAGAAGAGTGGGTTAGAAGGAAACAAATGGTTGCAAGACCAATATGAACTTCGGTCAAGATGGATTCCAGCATATGTTAATCACGTATTCTCAGCTGACATGTCAAGTAGTCAACGAGCAGAAAGTGGACATGCATTTTTTAAGAAATTTGTTTCGAAGAATAATTCATTGGTGGATTTCATGATTCAGTTTGGTAGGGGACTAGTGCGCCAACGTCACGAGGAGTTGATGGCCGATCACAAAGATGTAATTGAGAAACCTAAACTTAGAATAAATCATGACTTTTTGGAGCAAATGGTTGATATTTACACGAATGAGATGTATTACAAGTTTGAGGGTGAAGTGTGTGATAGCTTTAACTACAAGTTGCAATGTGTTAGGGAAACCGACAATTATTATGTGTATCAAATTCAAAGAAAGAAGCTTGCAGGAAGTAAAGTCCATGAAATCGTTTATGACAAGGACTTGGATTTGGTTTATTGTAGTTGTAAAAAAATCGAAAGCGCCGAAATCCCATGTACACACATTATCTCATATTTGATGAAGTTTGATGCTGAAATATTGCCCGATAAATACATCTTAAAGAGGTGGACTAAGTCTGCAAAATCAGGAACAGTGGTTGATAACCTCTGACAATTCTTATTTTTTAACGCGAACTCAATTTATCCAATCATCTTTGGATTTAGTTGACAAGTCCCTCGTATGTGAAGAAACAAGGACGATGTTTACTGATGGTTTGTGAAGCATTAATGAGCAAATAAGTCAATTTCTTAGTAGCCGCATGGCTGTAATGAGCTTCACCGAGAAAAGTAATTCAATAGGTAGTAATATAATAGGTGATGGTGATGGTACAAGCGCGCATGATTCTTGCACTTTTCAAAATAGTTTCAATGAACCCAATCAAGTGCGAGCAAAGGGGTGCGGCAAAAGGTTGAAAGGAGGAAAAGAGAAAGCAATGGCTAGAGTCAAAAATAAAAGAGAGAGACGTTGTCACGGGTGTGGTAAAGTAGGTCAATCACATGATAAACGAAATTGTCCGGTACTCACAAATCCGTAAGTAATAATTCTTCTATTCTTTTTGTTTTTTATTTTTCACATTCTAGTATCCCTCTTGATGTATTTATATATTTTTTAATATAATGTAGGTCTTCTACATGCGTTGATGTGAATTTGCAAGAGGGTAATGAGATATCAAGTGAAGATGAGGATGATGTGAATCTTTTTGAATGAACCCGAGGAGTGGTGCAGAAATCTGTTTTAACAAGAGGTAAGGTAAGCCCCTTTATAGTTTGTGAAGTTGTGCACATCATAATGAAACATACATGCTATGGTTGTTTCATATTTATTTGTTTAGTTTTGTCCTTAAAGTGTTTCAGGCGCCCAACTTTAAAACTAGTGGTAAAATGTATTCATTGTATATTTACTTCTACTTATTTACATATCTGACAACTTGTGGTAAAATGTATTCATTGTATATTTACTGTAAAGGGTTCAAGTATTCAAAGCTGTTATGGGCAGAGAGAAGTGGTTGAAAAGCTGTTGATGGAAACTTCAAAATGTGGGGAGGCCTTTCAAAAAGTTTAGTTACCTATTGTTGTTGGTTGTTTCAAAATGTTAATTATTGTAAGGATTGTAAGGACTATTTTGAGTTATTTGCACTTGGGATTATTGTAAGGATTATTGTAAGGATTGTAAGGACTATTTTGAGTTATTTGCATTTGGGATTATTGTAAGGATTATTGGCATAGAGAAGTGGTTTTAACAGAAACCTGCTGAGCTTGCTGAATCAGATCCTGTCCGAAGTACCTTAGAAGCTACAGCTGCAACTGATTCTATCATTTCAGGTTGAAGAAATGTAAAACCCTGAAAATTTGAATATAGTGTGATAAATAATTATAAATATGTTATATGGTGAAAATA